TTGGATCACCCTGTATCTTACATGGATGTGTTTTGAGCTCCCATCGACACAATTTAAATAATTTAGGAGGTGGGCCCCGACCCTACCTAACAGGGCCACCGAGAATGATATAATATTGTCCCAGCAGAAAGACAGAGACACTCCATAAAAAGTTCTCCCCACAAGGAATCGAACTCAGGGCTTCTGCATGCTACGGCAGAGCGACATATAAACTGCTACACCGCATGCGCTGGTGCTTTGTGTACGGGATAATCGTACACCGCATCTCTAACAACAACCTTTGAAATAAAATGATGCAGCTCGGTTTTTATCCACGTTCATCTGTTCGTTGTGAATTTCTCTTGCTTTTTATTTTTATTGTAGACCGTCAAGAATGGAGTCTTTGAAAACTACGATGAAGGATCGCCAGAAGCAAATCGCAAACGTTACGGACAGGTAAAACCCAAAATACTCGCATATATTTTTTTGAATGTCGGTTACTTTATATTTACGACCAAAGCATTTAGTAGTAGTAGTAGTAGTAGAAGAAGTAGTAGAAGTAGTAGTAGTAGTAGTAGTAGTAGTAGTAGTAGTAGTAGTAGTAGTAGTAGAAGGCAAGAAATAAGATTTATCATGCGTCTTCAATATGGGAGTAAGAAGTGTCAACAACCTTTTCGTGGCATTGTCTTTTTGGGAATTCGAACACGAACAGAGATGGTCAGAAGGCTGCCCAATGTGCTCTCACTCTCAACTAAACTAATGACACCCCCCTTCATTCCCAGTCTGTAAAAAAATCTGATTACTGCTCATCCCTAGCTACTCATCAGTCTCCTGTGGACTAAGAGCTGTATCCCCTCTTTTTGCTAGTCTTTTTTCCTTTGGTCATACGCCGATAGACATCTCAAGCACGTGATTCAAGCACATCCCCCACCCCTATACACACAGACACACAGGCAAGCAGACACATACGTGCTTGTACATTCAAATATATGAAATTACATATTATTATATACATAAGTATTCGTACAATATAGATATGTATGTGCTCAAATATACATACACTTAAATACACCCATGCACGCATACTTTCACATACACACACACACACACACACACACACACATACACACACACACACACACACACACACACACACACACATACACACACACACACACACACACTCACACACACACACATACACACACACACACACACACACATACACACATACACACAGAAACACACACATACTTACACAAACGCATACACCTCATTTCTGCCTCATTACTTAAAAGAGCAGCCTTGAAATAACCCCCCAAAGCATTACAATGATACCCCAATAAAAAGCGCCCATTCAGTAATAGAAGTAGCTCTCTTTATCGTAAAATAATGCGTCGAACCACAAACTGACCCGGATGGTCTGTCGTCAACAACGCACTAGTGCACACAATGGATATCTGATCTGCATTTTTTCAGACTTCGCCCTAACCTAGTGACTCTACCAATGC